CCCACTGAACCTAATGATGCCGCCCTGAGTAGCACAGCAACGGCCCCAGCACTGAATCAAACTCCACTACTAACACCGTCCTGCCTGCCCCTTACCACCTGGAAGATGATTATTAGACTTCCCGCAGCACCTGGGGCTTTAGAAATCACTAGCCATCAGCTCTTACATAGGTACAGTCATGAATCACTTAACAAGCTGTATGCTGAGAAAGGAGTGGTTAGGTGCCATCCTCACTGTGTGAACACTGAAGAGCAGTTACAGAACCTGAGGTACAGGTCAGGCACTCAGTGTGGCCTACGGTGCAATCCAGAGACACAGCACATCAGGCTGCTGCTGGCACAGTGCTTCACAGTAAGCTTTTTTTTTTTTAAATAAGAGTACACAATAAAATAACAACTAAAAGCATGATACACATAACCAGTAAGTTGTTAATTCAGATTACCAAGTATTATGTACTGCATATCACTGTATGTGCCATTCGTTACAGGACTGGCCGCACAGCAGGTCTGTTTACACCAGCATCACCACATACTTGCAGCAATGCGTTGAGGTGCTGAGCCACGGTACAATGGCTAATACATCACCAGACAATAGGAATTTTTCAGGTCCATTATAAACATGGGTATGCAGCTCATGACTCTTTGAACTTTGTCTGTCTTAAAACTGCTGCCTTTCCTACCAGAGGAAATATCTGAGAGCATTCTGAGTCAGAAACCCAGAGGGAAAACCACACTCAGCACAGCCCTCACAGGATGATCTCAGTTGTCAACCCATCTGTGGTCTGGGATTCCTGCTTTCAAAGAAAACCCCCCAGAACCTCGCTTCTCCTCCTAGATGCACAAGAGTGTCATTGTTCTCAGGACTCATGCCTGTCGTCCACCATAAACCAACTGAACCATAAAAATATGCACTGTCAGGGCTCAGGACAATTCTTACTTCAATTAAAATGCCTATGGACTTTATGCCAAAAGGAGAATGTTATAAATTTGAATTATTAGCTTCCAAGCATCATCCAGACCAATGTAAAATATTTAATGTTCCACTTCATTTGTTCCATTTAAAACTGATCATGTGCTTGGAAGTTCTGGCCGCTCTGCTCATTACTGTTCAGCCACAGAGAATGTAAAAGCAAAAACTGTTTTTATTTTCGTGGGCTGCAGAATTTATATCCTAAGTGTTCATCTTCACCAGAGTCATCAGTTACTGAAGGCCTAATATCTACATATTTTTCTCAAGGTGCTTTCGATATATTGATCCATTCAGTCAACCAGCAGGAATTTACTGGGCACCTGTTAGGTACCATGCATCTAATTAGGCACTAGAAAATTTTTTATAATGAAGAAGTCCCAGGTCACTATTGTAGGATGGTAAAATTCTGCAGTGTGGCAAACAGGTTATTAAATATAATCTATTAGGCAGTGCCATGTGTCACATGTTTGGAAGGACTGTCTCTAAGTCTCACAGTACCTTTCAAACACAGGCATCTCCAGGCATTCCAAATGAGTGTACTGAGGCTCTTCCACGTTGCACACTGCCTCTCTCACAGCATCAACATCTGCACCATCATTGCACCTTAAATCACCACTGTGGTCTCAATACTGCCCCAACCCATCTCCATTAGCTCATTCAGACATTGACCATACACATGTGCCCAGACTACTTCTGCATACTGCACACCCTCCAGAGCATGGACCACAAACACATGAGCCATAGAGAGTGCCCTGAAGAAACTACTAGCTAGCCATAAGGAGCAATATAAACCAGTCCATGGTTATGGAGCAAGGAGTGCCTCACACAAGTCATTTAGTCCTGGAAGGGGAAAAATCATTTTTTCCCATGCAAAGACTTATTAAGGAAGCAGGACTTAGGTCTTCAGACCACTGAAAGTAAGACAAAAGGACTGAAAAGAAGGCCAGTCATTTAGGTAGCCCGTATATGAGGAGGCTCACAGGTTAGGCTGAATGTTAGCCAAAGATGTAACCAGAACCCAATGGTGAGGCAAGCCAGCCTGCAGCTGCCTTAAGTGCCAACTGATAAGAAATGGAAGGGCATCCTGGGGCATAAAAACAAGTGTAACAGGAGAGGGAGAAAACGGCATTTACAAGCTTCGGAGACTACTGCCCATGATGGAAACAGTTCTGTTAGCCTCCTGGGATAGAGGGTGGGTGCCTAGAGGGCCTACTGAGTCAAAAACCGAAAGTCACCAAACAGTCTTCTAAAGACAGCCAGTTCTATTTGCCATAGCAACTTGCTTCTGTGTGGAGGGTGTGCCAGCTCTAGGCTGGAGCTGCATTAGTCAGAATCAGCAAGGAAAGGCCAAGTGCAAACAGTAATGGTTTCCCCCATGACCTTTCTCCCACTGAGCCTCCAGGTAGGCAAATGGATACTCACAGAATACTGAGGAGCAGCTGCCATTAGCTTACCTGGAACACCCAAATTTTTGGCCAGTCCCATGAAAAATATCTGTATCTGTTCAACTTCTTACTGCTGACAAAATACTTTTACATATGTTACTTGATTTTCATGACAGCCATGAAATAAGCACTAGGTCTCTCATTCACATATTAAGATCTTGAGGGTCAGGGTGGGTGGGTAACCTCTTCAAGATTATAAACCTAGCAAGTTAATGAGCCGGGTTTTGGAGCAGAATATCTGTGTAGTGGTCCATCTAATCTATCATTCCTCCAATGTAATATTGGTAAAAACTTTATAAAGTCCTTGACAGTTGACAGAAAGCTTTTAAAGAAGTCTTGAGGAGGACTTACCTACATGTATACACACAGTCAATTTTTCTAACAGGAAAATAACAACAACAATAATTACTATTCTACTCTTTAAACCCTATTTTCCCTCCTCTAACTATGGACTTTACGAGCCCACTCATCAGGTGAGTAGCTATTACTGTATTTAGATGATTGCTAAAGATGCATAGGTAAGTCCTTGACTCTTAGGTGTTGGTCTGCTCCTAACTCACTGCTAGAAACATAAATCCCACTTTTAAAACAATCCTGCATTTATGCCAAATACCTGTCCACTCCCATTTTCAGCCACTAAACTCCTACCTTCACCTCAATCTTCACAATGACACACATCAACATCACACAAGCAGCATGTGTCCTGAATGTTCGTCTTACATTAACATTTGTTTTGTGGAAGTGGCTACACCCAAGGCAGACATACAAACCACAGGACTTCAAATCCTTTAGAGAAAGTAAAGCATTTGCCACTTCTTTGGGCAAAAACAATTTTTGCTACATAGATAGATGGGGTATGTATATTTATTTTATTCTAAATCCCCAACTCCCTGTTTGTCAGAGCACTTCTTTGAAATTCCTGGGTCACATAAATTATTTAATAACCAATTCAGGAATTAGTCTTTCACACTGGGGAGAAAATTATACAGGGAAATGAAGACAGAGCCAAAATCAAAATGACAAACACTACCCACAAATGAGCAAACCACTCCCATCACTGAGCCCACAAAATGAAGAACACAGACTTCCCTCACCAGTCAGAGGAAGGCTTTATTTTCTTTTTCTTAAAACAGTTCTACCAAGAGATCTTAATAAAACAAGGTAAATACAGCGAATTCATAAAACAATATTCACACCTAAATTTTAATCATCTCTCCTTAACAGAAGAATTTATATAAGCAGGGCACCCTACACAAATGGAACTGAAATATATATTTTCACCTTTTATATTTTCTAGTCCCAAAGGAAAACTCCATACACCAATCAGCTTGCTGGACACTACAGAAATAGCAACTTGATTCTTTCAAAAACAAAGTATTTCAACCTCACACTCTTACACCTTCATCTTAAACATATCCATAAATGTGATTTTTCCAGAGCTTTCCTTCTTATTCACTCACTAAATCTCAGCACAGGCTTCTATCAATGTTCTGGATCAACACTAAACATATACAGAAGTGATCTATAACAGTATCTTTTAAAAAATTGTTTGCATTCTTTACTGTCATCAGAATCTTAAATTTTTTTTAGTTAAATCCAGCTTTCATAATTTCACTACATAATTCTAGAGTGTGTTTTTACACAGAAAACTGACGCTTTGTATAGGGACATCAGGTGCATGGAAAAATACAAATTTCCATACACATACTGTAAATACATACTTGTTTGTTTATTTAAAGATCCTTTTGCCAGCTTCACTCACAGTGCAAATACACCACAAATTCCATCAAGTGCATTTTGAATTTAGGTATGAAAATTGGGTTTTTGTGCTAACATAAAGCAGAGCCCAATACACTCTGTGGAAAACTTAAAGGAAACAGCCAGCAGTCCTTACACATTTCTAAAGAAATCTGTTCATCTAGAAACTGTAACATTTTACTGAGAATTAAGCAATGGATACATGCTCCAAATCCAGATAGCCATAGTAGACCCTCATTGATTTGTTAAAGATTTAACAATGTACAGCAAAGAAACAAAACAATCACGAACACCAACCGAGTAATTAAATTCCTCGTCGGAGGAAGTTTCAAAATCCAAGCTCAACATCAACATCTGCCAAGTTTCCATTTACCACCTACAAGAACTTGCTCATGTTACCCTGAAAATTCACAAAGAGGTAAAGCATTAAAATGTTTAAAGCCCATTAATTTGTACTATTTGACTCGCACTCAAGAGCTAACTCTAGTTGCAATTAGAATCTTAGCATTTGCTTCATTGTCTCTGAAGGGCAAAGGCTGACAGAGTTAGTGCACACAATTAAATCGGTTCTCGACCAGGGGTTAAGATCGATATATTGTGCGCCACAATCAGCCCAGAGCAGCTGTTCTCCCCACCTCCTTGGATCAGGCCGTTTATTTCTGGTCCCCAGCCTTAACTGGATCAGCAACTCTTTTCTCTACAATTCGCCCATCTCTTGGAAGGTCGAGGGAGATGCCTACTGATTCAAACTGTATTTGTTTACCGCCCCCAGCCCCGATATTCTGCATCCCCACGACCTAGCACCGAGCGCTTCCACTACCCCTGTACCTGCCAAGTTCCTCGCCGGTGTCGTAGTAATCATCCACGTTTTCCTGCCTGAACACCGTCATGATAAACTGTCACACCTCACCAAAGCCCAGTGCACTTCAGCTCTGCTTCCCAAACCATCACCACTGCTCCAGCGCCTCTGGATGCCCCTCATGCATCAATCTTCAGTGCTTTAAAAAAAAAAAAAAAAGCCACAACAATAAAATGACAAGCCCGAAAGGAAGTGCACCTCCCTAGAGCGTAGCCCCGCTCTCCTGAGCTTCTCTCCCCCAGGGTGGAGAGGCGCACCCTTTGTTAAGCCAGGACCCGGGCCACTGGAGCTCGGCAGTCCCCGCGCCTCGAAGTCCCAACCCGTGAACCGAGGTCTGTCCGCCCAGATCGGAACCAGCTCCGGAAGTGGCCGGCCTCCCCGCCTCCCTTTCTCTGCACACACGCCCACCCAGGCCCACCTCCAGGGCGCGGCGGAAGAACGCAGCCCTCGCCCGGGAGCGCCCGCGCCTGGCGGCGGCGACACCACGCCCCTGGGCCCCGCAGTCCCCTCCGACCTGGGCAGTCCCCAGAGGCACATTCCTGACTACTCCCGCCGTTACCCGGCCGACTGGCGCGGCTCCCGGGGAGAAAGGGGATAAGGGAGCGGCAATCCGCTCGGGGTCCCCGCGCCACGACACAAAGCGCCTGCCCGGCCGCACCACCTGTCCCCGGTCCGCGGGACCGGGACGCCCCCCGACGGCGACCCTCCTCCGCGCCTGGCGTCCCCGGCCTGGCCCTCCCCTTGGGCGGAGGCCCAAAGCAGCGTGGCGGCAGGCCCCGGGGGAGCGCGCGGCCACTCACCGACGCCTGCAGCCCCGCGGGTCCCTCGGGAGCGCGGCGGGCTCCGACCATGGGCGCGGCCAGGACCGGCGACGGGGCGCAGCGCACGAGGCGCACACCCGGGCCGCGAGGGTCGCCGCGCCCCGCCGAGGTGGAACAGAGCCCTCGCGCCAGTTCCGCCCGGCTCCCTGCTCCCCGCGCCGCAGCCCCGGCTCCTCTCGGTCTCCCCAGCAGGCGGCCAGTGGGGGCCCCAGGGCGGCTGGCGGTCCACCCCCCGCGCCCAGCCCGGCCCGGCCCGGCGCGGCGCGGCTCGGCTCGGCTCGGCTCGGTTCGGCTCGGCGCACACCCGCGCCCGCGCGCAGCCACACCCGCGCACACACGCCCACGCGCCCCGCACCCACGCCCGCCCGGAGGCGCAGGGCCAGGGAACCTGGGCGCCCACCCCACCTGTGCCACGTCCCGGAGCTGCCCTCTTCCGCTGTGTCTCGAGAAGTAGAATCCTTCGTCCCACAGATGTTCCTGTGTACGTGCCAGAAACGGTGCTCGGGAAAGGAAAAACACAAAAATAAAAACTCGTTTTTAAAATACCAGCTCGGGTGAAACCGACATTCTGATGTAAAAGCTAGATAATAAATAGCTAATAAATAAGGCCATTCTAGAAGAGATCTGTTCTATGTTTACAACAAAACAAGTTAATGGTATAGAGGAATGGAAGAGAGGGCCGTGCCTCCTCAGCGGCCAGGACAGGTGTTTTTGAGCTGCGATCTGAAGGTAGCAAGATAGCAACCTCAGAAGAAAGGGTTAGGATGCCAGAGGCCCAACGAAGCCAGGGAAACAAGAGCTTATTTGTGCTGTCCAGTGTGCTGCCGGCCATAAACGAGCTAGCTGCAGTGTAGCCAGTCCCAGATGAGGCGTGCTGATGAGTAAAATACACATTCATTCCCAAGACTTAAGACGAAATAAGAATAAAAATATTTTCAACTCCTATGTATCTTCATATCAGTTGTATGTTCAGATGATAGTGCTTGGATATATTGGGTTCTATAAAATATATTTAATAATGAATCCATAGGCACCTATTTCTTGTTACTTTTTAAAATTCAGAAATGCAATCATCTTTAAAAACCAGAAAAAGAAATAGCAAAACAAGCTCCCATTTTCATACTTACAAGTAAAACTACCAGCCACAAAAACAATAAATAAATAAAATTCAGCTACTAAACAATGTAACAATACGTGTAGTTTGCGTTCTATTTCTGAAGACTGTGCTGGTCTACACAGAAGCCCTGGATCGCTGAGGGTCCCTTACCCATTGTTCCCTAATTCTCATCCCATGCTGTCATCAGATCTTTGGGTGCGGAACCCCAAGTGGAGGAAGGGCTCTTAGAGAAGAAATAGACTTGGGTGTCCTGGTACAGGCCTATAACTTGGGAGACCAAAGCAGGAGAATCACCATGAATTTGAGGCCAGCCTGGGTTACAGAGCGTCCTAAAATGGGATAATTCGAACTCTTTGGATTAACAGAAATTTTTGAAAGAAATAAAAGAATGCCCCTCAGGCCCATGTCAGGTCTTAGTCTCAAAGAATAGTTCACTTAATGGCTGACCAATAAAGCACATGGTCATGACAGACTCAAAGAAGGTGCCAATTTGGGAGGTGGTATTAACCTAAGGGGTGGGTGTGAGAAATGAATAGAAAAGGATTTTGAGAGGTGAGAAATACACTCAAAAATAACCAAAACAAAAATGATTCATCTGGGGAAAATGCAAATGAATACATCTGTTGGGAGGAAAAACACAGATATTTGGGAGAAACTTGGACCGTGAGTGTGGATGTCTGCTTTATTTTTTAATTTTTTCCTGCAAAATAATATTTTCCAAGGCAATTAAAAGGATTTAACCTATTAGCAGGCCAGTACGGCTTACCTACCCTATTCTCCAGTGCTATTCACAGGAGATTTTCTGTGGCAGCAAAAACAGTGTTGGATTTTGAGTAACAAAACTGGATTTAATACTGGTGGAACCATTTAACAGCTGAATGGCCTTGGATTAATTACTTCACATCTGCACTAATTTAGGCAAGCATTTCAGAAAGGCAGAATGACTTTCCCCTGCTTTCTTCCTGCAAGATTGCCTCAGCTTCCACTCAACAAATGTCACAGCTCCACCTCAGCTAAGCCTCTGCATCTGGGTTTCTCTTTCTGCTCCCTCCCCTCCACCCCCCTTTCTCCCTCTCTCCCCCTCTCTCTCTCCTTCTCTCTCTCTCCTCCCCCTCTCCCCCTCTCCCTCTCTCTCCCTCTCTCCCCCTCTCTCTCTCTCTCCCTCTCTCTCCCTCTCTCCCTCTCTCTGTCTCTTCAAAGCTTCCTGCCCCATCTACCTCTCACACCTCCCCTTCAGTCACCCTAGTCTGGACACACCACCTCTTTCCTCTGGAGTCCTGGAGTCCTGACTTATGACAGCATAATAACAACTCTGGAAACAGGCAAGAAGGGCACTTAATTCACATAAGGGCCAGGGATGGGGAGTAGGGGTCATAGAGAGGCTGGCATTTCAGGGAAATTTCTTAGTGGGGCTGACATTTAGTGAAACATTCAAAAGAAGATTAAGAGTAAGCAAAATAAAATAGTAGCTAAGGAGTGGTGGGTTATGAGGCGGTAGAGAATGGGAAAGGAGGACATAGAAAAGTAGCAAAGGTATAATCTTGAATATGAAGGAGACTGTGGCTCATCCGGGTGTCTGGAAGCAGTCAGAGCCTAGGCGGTGAGGTGAATAGGAGGTAAGCACCGAGGGCAAAGGCTCTTTCCTATCACACCCCAAATTCAGATGAGAGTAGGGAAGTGAATGAAGATAGAGCTTGAAGGTCTTGTTCCTTGTGCTTAGCATTTGGGTCCTCACTTTGAAGAGTCTCTGATGCCTGGAGTAAATTAGAATTCAGCAAACCCTCACAGATGATAGGTAGAGACCAATGATGAGACGGCTTAAGGAGGTAGAAGTCACGGGACTCGGCCCAAGAACTTCCCCTTGGCACCAGAGGACAGAGACAGAGTCAGGGTGCCTCACAGTTTCACTGAGTGAAAAGGCTGACGTTGCTGCCAGGCAGGCTGAAGGACAGGCAGACAGACAGTGTCGGTGACAAGCTGGCACCCCGGGGACACCTAGATGATGTCAAGGTGGAGATGGGTGCCCGTGGGACTGGGAAGGGTGAGCCTAGTGTGTATGCCTGGGGAGCTGTAGGCGTGGAAGGCGATGAGGTCACCTACGGCCAAGATGCAGGACTGGAAAGGAGAGAGCTCAAGGCCTTCTTGGGGGAACAACAGCGTATTAACCCAAGCAAGTACGGAGGGCCGAGAGTGCCAGTAAATCTCACAAGCAGCTGTGCATGTCTTGTTGGTCTGTCTCTTGGCCCTGGAACAGGTGGGGTCAGAATGGGCCTCGACAAAAGGTGGTGAATTGAGGCTTCGAGAACATCCAGTATCTCATAGCCCCCCTGAACACAGTGCAGAGTGCATCGTGAACATTCACTGTCTTCTGGGCCTGAGAGCTTACTAACTTCCTATCGATGCTTTACACATCTTGAAAGTTTCATCTACCTCACTTCTTTTCTGGTTTTCCATAGCAGAATTCAATATTCATAAACAAAGTGGCCAAGTGCACACTATGCACCTCCTGCAGAACTATGTGCTCTTCACAGCACCTCTCAGGTTCCTTCTCCCAAGGTCGCTCCAGGCTCCCAGCCCTTCTGTGGGGCATGGTTTGTGAGCAATTCCCTGCCTTGCCTTCTGAACTGGGACTCTGAGCCCAGGCGCCATGATGTAGATTACCGCTTGCCCTACTTCTCTGCCCTTACTTTCCCTCTTACTCAGTTTCTTTCTCATTTTCGTTTACTAACCACTGGACTATTAAGCGTATTAAATCCTTTGTAAGAATAAGCGGGGTGTAAATTAACTCTTAAAAATCATTGACCAGTGCCTAAAAGGTCTGAGGAAATTATAATACATGTGGGGTTACAGGTTTGGTTTTTGCTCTGAGGCTGGTTTCTTTTATGCTTGGTCCAACTTCTTTTAGCTGCTGAAATCACCGGAAGCAAGAGATTGGCAGTGTTCCTAGCACTTGTAAAATTCCAGGTGCAGAAGGTCAATCAGGTTCCTAGCTGAATATATACACAGAGCTGCCTCTAAGAACCTCACTCATTTTGTTAGTACTGTATATAGTTGGCTTTATGGATCTAAGAGTTCCACATCCACAATTCAACCAACAGTGGAACAAAATATTGGGGGGAAATTGCACTTGTAGTGAATATGTGCACACTTTTTTGTCATTATTCACTAAACAATACAACTATTTACATAGCATTTACATTGCATACTTTATTCTACGTAATCCAGAACTGATTTAAAGTATAGGGGGATATACATGGGTTGTATGCAAATACCTGTATAAAATATGCCATTTTATATGAGGGACTTGAGTGTCTGAGCTTTGGTATGGGGCAGGGGCAATGGACTCTGTTTCCGGCAGACGCTGGGGGAGGACAATACACAAATTCGGCTTTGCGTAACACACACGTCCCACAGGACTCACCTGTTCTTGACATTTTAGCGCAGTTAGCTACCAGAGTCCACATTTCCTTGTGAGAATATTTGGATATAATCAGGAGGGGAAGAATGGAGCATTCAAAGGAGTCTCTCTTGTCAAACACCTTTAATGCAAGACTGGAAAGAAGTCATCCAAAAAGAAGCACTCCACATTATTCATCTATTAGAACAGCATATACCAACCATAATGACAGAAAATCTGAACTTACATCCATACTGACTCAGTGAATGCAGTTGTATTTATTTTCTTTATTTTTTCTGTGTCAGACATGAGCCATCTTTAATCATATTCATTTCCCCATATGTATTATTTAAAACAAGAAACAATTTTCTCTTCTCCAGATTCTCATGTTTATCAGTACAAAGTAAAAGTAAAACAAAGCTATGTCAGTAGAAACTGTTTATTACAATGCTACTTTAGAAAGCTTATTCCTCAAAATGTCCAAAATGTACTTAAAAGATGTCCAAATCATGAGAAGGATCCACTCAACAGCTTCCTCCACGTCCAACTTGGTTTCTCCATGTCCTTCTTGTGGTTCATCAAGAGAGGCCAGGGCCTCATTTGTTTCACTTGCAAAAGTTTCCCGTGATGTATCATCATCTTCTTGAAAATTCAGACTTTCAATGGCTTGTTTCATCTTTTTTCCCAGCATCTGTGTTCTCCTCTTCCTAGCAGCTTATTTTCATATTCCTTTTGATTTTCAATGTAGAAAATGTCCTTAATTTGTTCTTCGCTGATACTAGGAGTGTTTTTCAGGAGATTCAGAAAAACTCCACCTGGTGTTCCTCGTCCACCACCATTCATTATAAAAAGACTGCCATTTTGCTCAACTTCAGCAGTTTCCATCAGAAGTTCAATGGCTTTTTTGTTCCCAATCATCCTTACTACTCAGGCTATCAGATCTTTCCTTGGTTCCTGTAACCTAATAGAAATTTCATCAGCCACTTTTTCTTGAGAATCTTCTTCCGTAATCTCATACCTGCCTTTACAGTTCATTTCCAGTCCATCCCCAAGCCTGTCCCTGACAGGTT